GAAAGCCTGCCCCTCTGCCCAGGCGGGCAGGCACGGCAGGAGCCCCAGAGAGCCACCCCCATCTGTCCCCATCCGCTCCCCTCCAGCTGCGAGCGAGATGCTCCTCTGGCTGCTCTCAGCCCCGTCTGCCTGAGTGGCATTAACGGGGAGCACCCGCTTTGAGGCCTCAGCTCTGCTCCACAGTCCCCTGGATGAGAAATCTCCTTGATTTTTCTCTTTGAACAAAATGAGAGGTGACAGCGGATTCAGAGGACACTGGTGGCCACAGATGCCTTCACAAGGAGGGATGGTGACCAGCACACCCAAGAAACCGAGAAGGAGCCTCCTGGCAGCCCCTCGGCAGCATTTCAAAGGCAAGACCACCCATCAGCTCTTGCACTCCTATAACCATTCAATTAGGGCTGTGATTTTTTATCACCATAATTACACCAACGAGCAGGTTTTATAAGCATCATTTTCTGCAGAAATCCCTGCCGATGTTTCTTTCAGGGCTCGTATTTTCTTGGGAAGTGGCAGGAGGGAAAAAAAAATAAAAATCATGTGTTTTGTCCCTCCCCCGAGTCTTGCAGGGGAGGAAAAGGGATGTCCCCAAAAACATCATCTCTGCCAAGAATAGCTGGGGCTGGGATAAAGTATCTGCCTTGGTGGTCGGCGAAGTTTGTACCAGAAGTGCCTGGCAGTTTGGTTGCAACAGAGTGAAATTCAGCGTACTGAGACAGGGACACGGGCTCAGTGTGTTAAGGCCGGGGCTGCTCTAAGGCTGGGAGTATGCTGCGAGCTCGCTCGCCTGCTCCTGCCACCTCCATTGCTGCCAGCAGCAAGCCCAGCTCCCTGGGACTCTCATCCCAGCCCATCAGCCGCCCCGCACGGGATGCTACAGCAGAGGGGCTGAAACGGGATGGTGAAGCTGCACCAAGTCCATGGCTGGCAAAGCTGAGCCCTGGCTGGCAGCACCTTCAACCCGGAGAACTGCGAACTGGAATCAGTCTTGGCTGGCATGAACATACCTGAGCAGGGCTGGCACGCGTCCTGGGTGGCTGCTCCTGCCCAGCAGCAATGACCCGGAGCCTAATGGACCCCAAAGCTCAGGAACCAGAGTCCTAAACCTGATGGCTACAGCTGGAGCTGGATACCCTGCAAAGCTCCAGCGTGCCCTTAAGGGTGTGGGCTTACCTCATCCACCACGAGGTTGTAGTCACTCTTGTCCCCATCGCTGTCCTGCAAGGGGTGACAAACCCAGAAAGGCTCACTCAGGAGCGAGAGAGGCTGGACCAAGCTCTAGGCTCTGTCCCACAGGACTTCAGCCAGCACAGAGACCCCATTTTCTCCCGCACATCCCTCCTCATGAACCAACACCATGCCCTGCAGGCAGTGACTCAACCTCTGGCCGAAGGGCCTCCCCAGGGCTCTGCATTTTGTTCCTGTCTTCTCGAAGGACTAAATCCCTCTGCACCGGAGCAGGCGCAGAGCTCCCCGGCCCCATCTCCTGCAGCCACGCTCTTTGGTGCCACTCACGTAATGCCCAGGCAGGTCCTTCTCCTCCCGCTTCCGTTTCAGCCCCGTGCCTCCCGTCTGCTCCTCGTCCTGCGGGCTCTCGGGAGGGGAAGCAGAAATGCTCTGAGGCAGGGAGGGGAGAGGCAGGGGTGTGAGCCGACAGGAGGGGCAGACAGCCCCCCCAAGCCCTGTCAGCCGCGTTCCCTCTCTGCAAGAGACCTCCCAGTGCCGCTGGCTGCACTCAGCCGGTGCCCAGCACCCAGACAGCTATCTGTGCATCCTGTGCATGGCTGGCTGGGGGGCAGGGGTCCTCTTCTCCCACCAAGCAGGCATCAGGGCTAAGGGGGAGGCACTACTCTCCCCCTCTGCGCAGATACCTGTGGCATCCCCTTACTGGCACCTCATGCACCCTTGGCCAAGAGTCCTCTAAGATCCAAACGTACCCAGGGACGAAGGTGGGGTTTAGCCTGCTGCTTTCAGCAAGGCTGGGAAAGACGTTTCCAGATCTCTGGGTTGTAGCCCAAATTCATCCAACTCAGCTCTGACAGGACAGAGAAATGGGAAGCAAGATGGGGACTGTCCCATCCCTGGGGGTTGGCTGCCCACCGCCTCCAGGTGTGGGTGCATTTTTAGGGTGCTCAGAGACTCACCTACATGCAGCCCCAACAAGCCATCACCTCCCTTTCCCAACGTGGCCCCAGGATAACTCCAAAGTGAGCTGCCCTCACCTCTTCCCCTGCCCACTCCTCACATCTCAAGCCTGGCCAGGCCCCAGCCCCTCCCCAGGGAGAGCATGGCCGGCCGGTCCATCACCCCCTCCACCCTGGTGAAGCATCTCCCTACCTGGCAGGCAGGAGGAGCAAACCCCTGCTCACAACCCCAAAGCCACCGGCTCCCCTTCCTTGCCAGAGCTGAGGGGTAGGCAACAGGGCAACAGCCCCAGCCAGCAGATGAGTGCTGCTGTGACGGGGACGGGGGAGGATGAGGAGTCGCAGCCGTGCCCCGGTCCGGCCGCTGGCACGCAGGGCTGCGTGAAGCCTGGAGCTGAGCGAGGCAGCATCCCCAGCGCGGCTGGAGAGCAGATCCACCTCTTTGGGAGATAACAAGGCATGGCAGAGCGGAAAATCCCCATCGGAGCCGTGTTTACTTCGCCTTAACCCGGCCACTGCAGAAGCTGGCAGGAGGGAAGAAGGATGGGGCTGAGCAGGACAAACCAGGCTGACAGCGGCTACCAGAGAGGCTGCCCGGAGCAGCCAGCATGCTTGTGCCAGGGCAGTTTCTGGGGCACAGCTCCTCGACCCTCCCAAGACTGCTCTGCAGAGCTGTTTGAGCTGGGGGTTGGGGAGAAAATGCCCCATCCTACGGCTCCCACAGTCGATTTTTTCCAGCACGGCAGGATTAAGAGCCTCAACCACAGAGCAGAAAGGATGCTCCCTGTCCCCTGGGTGATCTCCAGAGGAGGTGCCCACGTACTACGAGATCACAGGGGCGATCCATCCTGCACAACATCACGCCCATCTCTCCCTCCTCCTCTCCCACCCGACTGCAAGCCTATGAAGATCAATGCCAGTTGCTCCCCAATGGAGGGGCTCATTAACCCTTCCTTCCCCTGCCTCTGCCAGGAGCTGGAGCTCTGCCTTACTGCAGCCACAGCTGCTGAGGCGGGGAAGCGAGTCACAGACCTGGGACTCATGACAGGCTGGGCTGGGGTCGGGGAGGGGGGATCCTAAGAGGGACCGTGCAGCCAAGGGTTGCAGGGGGGCTGGCAGCACTGGGCTTAGGTATGGAGACCTGTTCAGCCCATTTCTTAAACTGGAAACTCCTTGAAAAGGACAGAGTTGGTTATTTTGGGAGCAGCCCTCGATCTTTAGATCCTCACATCAGCAAAGACTGAACTGATGTGGCCCAGAACCTCCAGCTACAAAACCCCGATGCCAACACAGAATCACAGAATAGTAGGGGTTGGAAGGGACCTCTGTGGGTCACCCAGTCCAACCCCCCTGCCCAAGCAGGGTCACCTACAGCAGGCTGCACAGGACCTTGTCCAGGCGGGTCTTGAATATCTCCAGAGAAGGAGACTCCACAACCTCCCTGGGCAGCAAACCTCCCATCCAAGCCAGCAAAGCAAAGTGAACGGGGGTTACAATAAGTGGAGCCCCTCTGTCTTATATTCACTGCTCAGATGCTCTCCTGGACTCCCCTACATCCCTATGCAAACACATTTGCCACTTGGCTGCTCCCACCCTCCACACTGCAGCTGGATTTACTCTCCAGCCTGCAGCACCTTGGGGTTCAAACACGGCTCTGTTCCACCCTAGACACGGCTGCATTTCAGCGCTGCCTCCACCACGCACGCGCCGGTGGAGCGGACACCGGCTCCAGAGCAGGAGCAGGTCTGGGGCCCGTGCATTCTCACCCTCGGGACTCAAGCTGGGTTTGCACGTGCAGTGCTGTTCCCCAGGGACTGGGCTGACGCAGGAAGCGGGGCTGAAGTACTGGGCCCTGCTCAGCGGCGACAGAAGGGCTGGACGCTTTGCCCTGGATGAACAGGGGTGGATGCACAGCTGGACGTGGGTCAGGGCCCCCTTCGTTAGGCTGAGCCTTGGGGAAATCAGCTCCGCTAAGAAACAGGGATGACCCCAAAAATCCTCAAATCCAGAGACTTGGCCCAGCCTTGTGAGGACCCCTGCGCTGCCTGTGGGAGAGGGCAGAGCCGCCCCACGCCCCTCTTCCCCACCTGCTCCCAGCTCCGTGGGTTGCCCTCACCCTCTGGCTATGCTGAGCCCTTGCAAACTCAGTGCCCAGCAGCAGGCCAGTCCTGGGAGCCTGTCACCTTAGTCACCTTGTGTGCAAACACAGCCAGCCTCGGAAGGTGACTCACAGCGGCAGGGGAAGATGTCCCCTGCCCTTATCCACCAAGCTGAGGAGGGGGGGAAAGAGGACCCCACACATCAGGAGAAATGAATGGGAGGCCTGGAGCCTGCAGCAGAAGGGGAGCAGGGTGCTTGGGCAGTGGCTGCAAGGGGACAACGTGGACCTGCTCTGCCCACAGAGCTGCCTCCCCCTCGCCAAGCAGCCCCCCGCAACAGGGACAGGGCAGCTCACCATGACATAATGTCTCTGCATCTCCGTCTTCTCGCTCACCAGCTTCTCGCATTCCAGCTTCAGGCTGCGAAGAGGATCCAGGGTTTTCACTCACGACCCTCATCTGCCCCGTCCCCCCAGTTCCAGCTTTCCACCCCACGAGCTCAGCGAGCTCGGCACATCGCTGGCCTCCCCCCCCCAGTCTCACGGGGCCATGGGGGTGTCACACACCCACTCTAACTGGGGTTGCCATCCCTGGGGGACCCGAACCCCTGTGGCCTCTGCAGCCCCCCCGGACAGGCTGTCGCACCCACCCGGTGCCCTTCTGCCGCAGCACCGCTGCCGAACCCCCCGCCTCCCCCCAGACCCAGCCCAGCCG